AAAAAAAAAAAAAAAAAAAGAAACTAAAACTGGAGCAGCTCTTTCTACCCTACAAGAAAAACCAGCACTGAGTTCAAAAGCCACTGTACCTGGCCTAATTTTTCTGACCTTTTGTAGAGATGGGATCTCACTATGTTGCTCAGGATAGTCTTTTTTTTTTTTTTTGAGACACGGTCTTACTTTGTTACCTTTGGAAAATTACCCTGGCATCATAGCTCACTGCAACCTCAAAGTCTTGGGCTCAAGCGATTTTCTTGCCTCACCCTCCCAAGTAGCTGGGACTACAGGTACCCATAATGATGCCTGGCTGTTTTAGAGACAAGGTCTCACTCTGGCTCAGGCTGGTCTCGAACCTGTGAACTCAGGTAATCCACCAGCCTTGGCCTCCTAAGTGTGGGGTTATAGGTGTGAGCCATCATGCTGGGTAGGATAGTCTTGAACTCCTGACCGTAAGTGATCTCCAGCCTCAGCCTCTCAAAATGCTGGATTACAGGTGTGAGCTACTGCACTCAGCTGATAATATTATCATTATCTCACCAGAGAATGAGGCCAAATGATACCAAAATTCATATAGAGGAACTAAAGTCCATGATGAGCATGAAAGGAGCAGAAATGTGGAACTTGGTCTGGGAGAAAGTAAAACATATTCCAAAGCCACAATAATCAGAACAGCAGAGCACTGTTGCATGACCAATAGATCAAAGGAACAGGGAAGAAATCTCAGCACAGGTTCCAATCTCTGGGAACCAGGCAGTTTCCACAAATCAGTGGGAAAAGGTGGATTCTGTGCTCTGGTATTGAGAAAAGCATCTTCCTCTAAAAGGGTGTGGGGAGGAATCAAGCTGGATCCCTACCTCACATCATACACAAGAACCTCTGAAAGGTTAAGATGAAGATACAAGTAAAAAACTAAGGGGAAACCATACAGCATAATATCAGGAGCCTCTGGATGGGGAAAGATTCCTTTAAAATTCCTCAAGGATGGGCAATGCCTGTGGCTCAGTGAGTAGGGTGCCAGCCCTATATACTGAGGGTTGCGGGTTCAAATCCAGCCCCAGCCAAAATGCAACAAAAAAATAGCCAGGCGTTGTGGCGGGGGCCTGTAGTCCCAGCTACTCGGGAGGCTGAGGCAAGAGAATCGCCTAAGCCCAGGAGCTGGAGGTTGCTATGACCTGTGTGACGCCAAAGCACTCTACTGAGGGCGACAAAAAAGCAAAATGAAGATTTCTTTTTAATTCAAAATCCTCATAGACAAAGTTTATCAATATAAAAAGACATAAGAGGTTGGTGGGGGCAAAGCTGTACTGACAGAAATTGGCAAGAGATTATCTTCTAGAACAGGAGTCAATGAACTTTTTCTGGAAAGGACTAAAAAGCAAACATTTTCAGCTATGTCAGCCATAAGGTCTTTTTTTTTTTGAGACACAGTCTCACTTTGTCACCCTTGGTAAAGTGCTGTGGTGTCATAGCTTATAGCAATCTCAAACTCTTGGGCTCAAGCTATCCTCTTGCCTCAGCCTCCCTGTAGCTGGGACTACAAGTGCCTGCCACAACGATCAGCTATTTTTCCAGACGAGGTCTTGCTGTGGCTCAGGTTGGTCTTGAACTCACAGCTCAGGCAATCTACCCACCTCGGCCTTGCAGAGTGCTAGCATTACAGGTGTGAACCACTGTGCCCAGCTTTTTCTCATTTTGTTGAAATCAAGTCTTACTCTGTTGTCCTGGGTTGAGTGCCATGGCATTGTTGTAGCTCACAGCAACCTCAAACTGCTGGGTGCAAGGGATCCTTTGTTTTCTTTTCTTTTTTTTTTTTTTAAGAGACAGAGTCTCACTTTATCGCCTTTGGTAGAATGCTGTGGCATCACAGCTCACAGCAATCTCCAACTCCTGGGCTTAAGTGATTCTCTTGCCTCAGTCTTCCGAATATGTGGGACTATAGGCGCCTGCCAGAACGCCTGGCTATTTTTGTTGTTGTTGTTGCAGTTTGGCCAGTGACG